AAAATCCATATTTAAGGATCAAGAATTAAAGACTATTTTTATTTTCACTAGCTTTCTTAATTGACTCATATCTTTTTCGTTTTAACTCGGATTTTAATTTTTTTTGCACAGATGGAACGAGTTCACCGTGCTCTACAAAATGAGATCAATTTTCAATATTTTTTTAGGAAAAAAAAATTCTGGCCTCTCGGTACCAACTGCATAACCATATGGTATCTTCTTCGTTTTTAATTCGTTTTTGAAAACGTTTGCACAGCAGGGATGAGTTCATCATGATCTACTGGATCTACAAATTTCTGGGTGAACAAATTACAGGACAAAAAAATACCACACAATACCATACAATACCACCCTGGTACGGGGTGTATTGTATGGTATCTTCTTCGTTTTTAATTCATTTTTGAAAACGTTTGCACAGAAGGGACGAGTTTATCATGATCTATTGGATCTACAAATTTCTGGGTGAACAAATTACAGGACCAAAAAATACCACACAATACCATACAATACCACCCTGGTACGGGGTGGTATTGTGTGGTATACAATGTTAAAAGTCGTAAATTACAATTAATATACTTCTACTATCATGTATTCAACCATCCTACAGTATTGGTTTGTTCATACCACCATGGTACGTTTTTCAAAACATAGGTATGCTTTTATTTCAATACCAGTCAATACCATATGGTAAAGGCTGGTAAAAAATGGCTCAATTTTTTTTGTTCGAAAAATATATTAAAGTGGATATCATTTTGAAGAGCACAATTAATCTGATCTAACTGTGCAAAAAAATTAAATTTCGACTTAAAATGAGCTAGAAATCTTCCGTCAAAGATTAAAGAGGGAAAAATTAAAGGCTGATGTGGACGGGTTACTCATGGTTACTCACCATAAGGTTACTGACCTGATCCATTCCCGCAAACGCAATATTTCAAGGGAAACCCCAAAGGCCAAAGCCCTGTCTCTCTTTGTCGCGGTTGCACTCGCGCCTTGTTTCTTATCACATAATCATCATGAAGAATTTTACAATGCTATATAGTATTGATGCTATACGGTTTTGCTTTTATGATACAACTTAAAATTGTACATTTACGTTATGGTACAACTTCATATTGTACCTATATTTTTTGTACAAATTCTTTTATGGTACAATTTGAACTTGTACTTTTATGTGATGGTACAACTTCAAGTTGTAAAGTTGTATCATAACATAATGGTACAAATTGCTTTATGATACAATCTAAACTTATACATTTAATATTATGGTACACCTACAACTTTAAGTTATACATTAAAACACCAATACTATATAGCATAGTAGAAGTGCTCAATCGTCATATCATTTCATTCAAATCTAAAATATTGTTAGATGTTATCATTCTTGTATTACTCTCACTACAACAAAACCCATATATAGTGGCTAACTGTTGAGGCAAATATTGTATTTGCCTCTATAAGTACATTATATGCAACAAATATATAATTTGCCTCAACAAGTTCAATTATATGCCTCTAGAAGTATGAGATATACTACAAATATATAATTTGCCTCAACAAGTTCAATTATGTGTCTCTAAAAGTATGAGATATATTACATATATATAATTTGCCTCAATAGATACAACTATGTGCCTCTAAAAGTATGAAATATACTACAAATATATAATTTGCCTCAATAGATACAACTATGTGCTTCTATAGCTCCTAAATTTGCAACTCCAAATGCTTTAATATGACTAATAATTTTTTTGCCTCAATAGATGTTAGTATTTGTCGCTATAGCTATTACCTTTTATATTTGACTATTATTTATTTTAAACAACAAGTATTTAGTATATGAAATATGAATCAAAATTGAATATAAAAATGTTAATAAAACAAGAGAAAGGTCTCGCTTTTGAAACTTTCCCAGTGCCTCGCCCAAATTTTCAGGCCCGCCCAACCAAAATTTGTAATTTACCCGCCCATTAATTTCCCTCTTCCAGTCCAATTTCAAACCCAGTCCAATTGTACCCTAGGGCAGTAGGGCTCCACTCTTTTCCCACCCTCTTCTCTTTAGGTTATTGCTTTTGAGAAGGAGAACAAATTAAACTCCCACAACCGCCTTCTCTTCTAGCTTCTTCCTTCTTCCTTCTCCCTAACATCTACCAAACCAAACCCCCAATATCTCTGCCCTATTCCTCAAAACCCCAATCTCAATCTCATGTCCGCTAATCTCGTTGGCTAATCGCTCTCCTCTACCTCTTCCTTAAAACCCCAACCCTAATCTCTGGATCGCTCTACTCTACCTCTACCTAAAAAATCCGACGAATATCGGTGCTATAGCTTAGACGAAACGGCGAAAACTCGGAGATGATATATTGATATGGGTTTGCTGGGGCCAGGCGACGACGACCAGAAGCATCAGTTGAGGAGCCAAAATTTTCTTCTTTCTGCCGGTGACCATCAAGAAGATATGGTCACTTTCTGGACAGTGTTTGGGGTAGATCCCGACAACTCGATCTGTTCTTTTGAGTAGGGCTGTTTGACGGCGGTTTGGAAGGGCTTGTTCGTGTGGAGCTTGCTTTTAGAGGCGGAGACGATTTAGGAGACAAATATGGCGATAAGCAGCCCAAATGGAGATTGATGGCCAATGAGCCTGCCCCTGTCTTCGTCGGCGAGGAGGAGGATTTGGGCGACAAATCTACAGAGAGAGCGTAGAACAACGCTGGAAGGATTTGTGTGGTTGATTTGGAAACTTAGATAGATCTTTCCTTTATGTTATGTTAGCTAGATTGATTTCTCCAACTGTATTGGTTTAAGTTTAGTCTGGAATCCGGAAAGTCCGATAGTGGTGAGATTTTTTATGAATGATAGTGGGGAGATTGTCTTCTGTTTGTACTCTCCTTTTTATAAAAAATTATAATTAATAAATATTCAATATTAATATTTTATAATCGATATTTATTGAGTTTCACAATACAGAATGAACAAATATTTTTCATAAAAGAAAATGTAAATTTAATCTTTCACTATATAATTATTATTTATATCTTAAAATATATCAATACAAGCAAATGTTTTAGTCTCAACAGATCATTTTAGAGGCAGATATGTGTGACTCTGATATAAGATATGAAGGCAAACAAAAGATTGCATTAGCGGCTAAAATATTAGTTGCAGATCATTTAATCAGCAACAAATAGTATATGCCTCTATAATATGCCTCTATAAAGCTATAGCCACTGGAGTATTTGAGGCAAATGTATTATTTGCCTCTAAATGTGTATAGAGGCAAAAAAATGATTTGTAGAGGCAAATTTTCATAGCCTCTATATGTAGGTTTTGTTGTAGTGTCTATACGTGTCCTTTGACGAGAATTTGCCTTTCAGCTTCCTGTTTTGCCACACGCAAACTGAAACTGAAACTGGGGAAAATTGAGAATAAATGAAATTATTAAGTGGCATATGTCTCACCAATTAACGTGAGATTAGCAAAGCTTATTATAAAAATAAATGAATTAGCGGGAAGATTGCTGGCTGACTGGCTAGCTGCCAGGCATGCAGCAGTAGGTGAAGAGCATCAATCTCCCACTAGATCAACTGAACTACCCATAGTCAAAATTGAAAATTGCCTATGGCTAATGGCCAACCCCGCATTATCTCTAATACCTTTTTTATTTTTTGTTTTTACAAAAAAACAATTTAACCATAACAACAACAGCTGATTCTTAATGAGGGAATAAAATACAATTGAAATCTGTAATAATTCATTTCGTTCTAATTTTGTCTAATTAGGAATTAAAACATTTCAATATTTAATTTTGGTGTCAACTAATTCACATTGGTTCCGGGAACAACAGAAAGTTAATTGGTTTCATTATTACACACCTGTGGCTGTGATTGACTGCTTGCGTTCGTTATTGAGTATTGCCTACGTCAATTGCTCTGCATAAATTGCCTGAGTTTTATTTATTCCGAAAAGAATGAGTGCCATTGCATTTCATTCACAGCAATGGAACACGGACATGAATCCAAATAGGCAAAACACACGTTAAATGAAGAAAATGAGAAGTATCCACTTGTTCTCCTTTGAGATTGTGACATCGTCAGGCCAAAAGGAAGATTGAAATAGAATGTGACCATTAAGAATATCCTTCAAGGAACTAATCATCCAACCGTACCACTCCCAAAATTAAAGGTGAAGTGGATCAATATACGACTTCGACAAGATTCAAACACCCCATTTTCCATGCCAATAGCGAGCGTATATACTTCGGCCCAATCTAATCTTAATTATACCAAAGAAAGTCTAATCTCGTCCACAACAACTGCCAATAAACAACGAAGATAATCTGGTTTATCGTTTTACAGTTGTGTATAAGTATCAGAAACAGTTATTCGTTAACCAACAACTCATAATAAGCTATCAATAAATGAACAGTAGTCATACATATCTCGATGTAACGTAAGTGATAAACTAAATTGTAAGTGACTTGTACATTACCAGATAAACCAATCAATATTAGTAAAAAAAAAAATACACACATACTTTTCATTCAACCGATTAGCAGTAGCAAGTAGCAACGATGATTAGTGGATTACTTAATAATTAGAGAAAATAAGAACGAAAAGAGGCAAAAGTCGAAGAAAACAAAAAAGACAACGGTGGTAGGTGAAACTCTATCGCTATTTTCTTTTTAGTTACTACTAAACCATAAACAATGATGATAAAATATTATATAATATTATGTAATATAAATGTCAACAAGTCAATTCCCCAAATTTTATAATCCACACACCTACCCCCAATCTGGACCCCGCCAGCCCACTTCCTTTTCCTTACCCACCATACCATACCAGACCCAAAACCAGAACCAGACCATTCTACCCCTCATTCTTACCAACCCAACTCCACCCATTCTCCCTCCTCCCTTCTCTCATCCGCCAGACACTCACCAACCCCATCCTACCTTAATTCCCCATTTTACCCCCCGCCCAGCCACCCATTCCCATTTCCCCCTCCTTCGTTCAAAACTCCCTTTTATATCCTCCCTTCCTCTTCCCCTGCTTTCCTTAGGAAGTCCCTATTCTCTTACTTCCAACTCCAACAACTCCTTTCTCCCCCGGCATTCCCAATTCCTTCTCCCACTCATTCAAATCTCATCCATGGAGCTCAATCAGCAGCAGCCGGCGGCGGAGGAAATCATCTTCCGCTCCAAATTGCCCGACATCGACATCCCCAACCACCTCCCCCTCCACTCCTACATCTTCCAGAACATCTCCAACCACGCCGACCGCCCCTGCCTCATCGACTCCCTCTCCGGCCAGATCCTCACCTACGTCGACGTCCACCTCACCGCCCGCCGCGTCGCCGCGGGGCTCGACAGCCTCGGCGTCAAGCAGGGGGACGTGATTATGCTCCTCCTCCCTAATTGCCCCCAATTCGTCCTCGCCTTCCTCGGCGCCTCCTTCCGGGGCGCCATTGCCACCGCCGCCAACCCCTTCTTCACCCCCGCCGAGGTCTCCAAGCAGGCGAAAGCCTCCGGCTCCAAATTAGTCATCACGCAGTCCGCCTTCGCCGATAAGGTCAGGGATCTCGCCGCAGGCGGCGAGATTAAAGTCGTCTGCGTCGATTCGGCCGCGGTCCCTGACTGGTGCTTGCATTTCTCTGAATTGACCGGCGCGGACGAGGCGGCGGCGCCGGAGGTCGAGATCGAGTCCGACTCGGTGGTGGCGCTGCCGTACTCTTCCGGCACTACGGGGTTGCCCAAGGGGGTGATGCTGACTCACAAGGGGCTGGTGACGAGCGTGGCGCAGCAGGTGGACGGCGAGAATCCGAATCTCTACTTCCACTCCGAGGACGTGATCCTGTGCGTTCTGCCGATGTTCCACATCTACGCTCTCAACTCGATCATGCTCTGCGGGCTCCGGGTCGGGGCGGCGATCCTGATTATGCCCAAGTTCGACGTCGGGGCGCTGCTGGAGCTGATCCAGAGGTACCGGATCACCATCGCGCCGATGGTGCCTCCCGTGGTGCTGTCGATTGCGAAGTCGCCGGACACGGAGAAGTACGATTTGTCGTCGATTCGGATGCTGAAATCGGGGGCGGCGCCGCTGGGGAAGGAGCTGGAGGACGCCGTCAGGACCAAGTTCCCAAATGCCCGACTCGGCCAGGTGCGTTTCCTTTTCTTTTTGTTCTCTCTCTCTCTCTCTCTCTCTTGTTTTCACTGTTTGCCTTGACTGCCATTTACAGAGTTACCGCAATTCGCCAACGCGATTTTTTAGCAAATTATAATTTATGTTGAATTATTTTCCCTTTTTCTCTCTAATTCTTTTCGTCGCGTCTTTATATTTTGGCGCTTTAATTATTTTTGGGTAATTAACGGAATTGATGATTAATCGTATAATACGAATAATTCTTATTATTAAGTGCAATTAAGTTTATGAGATACTTTTGTAAATTCATGTAACGCACGCGAGGACATGCTGAATTTGGGCCGGACGCTCCACCGCTAGAGTCTAGACTCTAAATGAGAAAGTATAGATAAGCACGCCAGTTATTTTATTTGGTAGAATTGTTTCCTAGATAGAAATTGAAGGTAGAAAGAAAGGAAAGGTTCTTCTTGAGTTGCACCCAAAATTGTAGTCATCTAATGTGCAACGCCATTGATGTTGTCGACAAGTTGGCGTAATCTAGTGCCAACTTCTACAATATTATTATTATTATATACTATTCAATTTGCCAATATGGGTGGTATCATGCCGAATTACCACATTAAGTTGTGGATTTCTCCAACCATAAGTGCTTCTCAACCTGAAAGTTTTAGGGTCAAATTCTTTAAGTAGTACCTAACCATAAAAACAAACCGCATATCGTTGAAATGATGGATTCAAGTTTTATGGACTCTTTAACGTCCTAAATAGCGGTAGCTAATGGCATTGAGAAATTAAGGCAGCGCGGATATATAAATTTAAATATTTGCACACAATTTAATAGCACGTCACAGAAAATAAAAACAATGGATTAGGTAGCCAAATTGTATAATGGTAGGCTGTCAACAATAAAATTAGAGGAGGGAAGATGGGGAAGACATGGGAGCCATGTTGTTGGTGTAGTTGGAATATTTGGGAGAAGCTTCTTGTTTCCCATAAAGACATAAGCCTACCTCTAACCATCCAAACATGTTTTACATTATAATTTGCCACTTAAAAACCCACATTATAAAATCATACCAAATGTTGAACCACATAAATCGTGGTTAGACCATAGTGGCACTGTATTTTCTATTTAAATCGTGGTTTAATCGCAGTTCGATCGTTTCATACCGATCAAATTCTATACAAGTTGGACTCCGATATAGTTTTTTTTATATTAGACTGTCAATACAGTACGGTTTAACAAACATGGAGATAAACACAAATTGCCCCAGAAAACCGCTTTTTCCATTCCTCTTTAGTGAGCACCTTCCCACCACAAGCCCCTTGTATATTATTGGGGACATGTTATATGCAGTAGCTGGTCTATTAGAATGCTGGTATTTATAACAAGAACTTTCTTCATAGTATTTGGTTTCCCGGACCACCATGGAAGGCGGCCAGAGAAATGGGAACCTCTAGTCGGCATCCGCGGGGAGGGCCACGTGCTTCCATTGGTTCCTAGACTTTTATATCCCTTTACTTGCATATGACAATAAATGTAACCACACCTTGAATGAGGTGGGCACCCACCCCAACCTCTTATCTGTGTAGTAGCAGAATTATGCAGCAACTTATTAGGCGTATAGTGTGGTGAGGCATGGATTGGTGAGGGTCCAAACTAGAAGATAATTGATGATTGAAAACCCAGCATTTGTAGTTTAGTATGAACCAGATACTCCCCAAGAAAGAAGCATCTAACTGTAAGTACTAATACCAAACACTTCCTGTTTCGTTTTGCAGGGATATGGAATGACAGAGGCAGGACCAGTGCTGTCGATGTGCCTGGCATTCGCCAAGGAACCGTTTGAGATCAAGCCGGGTTCCTGTGGAACTGTTGTCAGGAATGCTGAGATGAAGATTGTCGACCCTGATACTGGATTCTCCCTCCCCAGGAACCAGCCTGGCGAGATTTGCATCCGAGGCCATCAAATCATGAAGGGTTAGTTGGTTTAGTTAATCCACCAATTTCTCAAAATTTGATAAAACACATCTGGGATGTCACCATCGGTCCAATAGCTGAGATTGACTGTGTCAGCTGTTTGCCGCCCATGCCAGCATTGTTGAAAGATTCACTTAATTATTGCTGTCAGAACGGGATTAATAATATTAAGTTGTTTTCGGTTTGATCAGGGTACCTGAATGATCCCGAATCCACATCAAGAACAATAGACAAAGAAGGGTGGCTACATACCGGCGACATTGGGTTCATTGACGACGACGATGAGCTCTTCATTGTTGATAGGTTGAAGGAGATAATTAAGTACAAAGGTTTCCAGGTTGCCCCTGCTGAACTTGAAGCCTTGCTACTTGGTCATCCTGAAATTTCTGATGCTGCAGTTGTCGGGTAATAATACTTCTTCAGACAAACAAAAATGCTGACTTCCCCTGCTTCTCTTCTTCCCTTATGTTCCTGATTCTCATTCTTGTCCAGGTTGAAAGATGAGGCCGCGGGGGAAATCCCAGTAGCATTCATCGTAAAATCGGATAAATCTGAGCTTACTGAGGATTCAATCAAGCAGTACGTCTCTAAACAGGTAATAAGAAGATTCATTTGAGAGTTAATTCAAAGTTAATCATGTTCTCTAGGGAGTGCAATTAGGTGGCTAAATGGTGACTTGGTTGAATGGATTTCAGGTGGTGTTCTACAAGAGAGTAGGCAAGGTGTTCTTCAGGGAGTCGATTCCAAAGGCACCCTCTGGGAAAATACTGAGGAAGAATTTGAGAGCAGAGCTGGCTGATGGTGTCAAACACTGATCAACCACCGGTTACCATTACAACTATTGTTTATTAACCCATCCAGAAAGAAAGCTTAAAAAGGGGTCCTGAAGCGGACCTGTGTTTCTCTTTCTCACTTTCTCCCTTCTCAACTTTCTTCTCTTCCCTTTTTTGCGCCCCTTTTTCCTCTCTCTTTTGGCTATTTGTCAATTCTCATATGAATATTTCCCTACGATTGATTGTGTAAAAGTAAAAGACAGGGTGGAACAATCAAGAATGTACTTACTATTGTTTGTGAAATTGAATCAATACAAGAAGAAAACAATATCCATATTGTTTTTCAAAAGCTTCAGCAGAGCTCACTCCCATGAAAGGAGTCGTAGACTCGTAGTGCTTACGCTTTTTCGGACCCCGAGGAATTTTTTCAAATATATCACCCAAAAATTAAAAAGTCTCAAAAATACTATCTTTTCTAAAAAAAATTTCATTAAGACTATCCTTCTCCAAAATCCGTAGCCCTCCATGGCGGTTTAAACAAGTACCGCAGGGGGTGTTGTGGTTTTTGTTCCTGCCGCCTAAAGACCACGTGGGTTCGCTGCGGTGAGATTAACCGTGGTACCCACGCGTTTTTCATTCAAACCGCCACATCCCCGTGGCCTGCACATAGTTTTTTTTTCGATGAATGTCTAACCTAGGACGAAATTTTAAACAAACGTAACTTTGTGCTCGGTTATTTGATTGTAGTGATGATGGACCCGGTATTCACCTGCTTCACCTGCCCGTTGAAATAAAGTATTTTACTCCAATTATTATTAAATAATTAATATATTACATCTTATTATATTTCATTTAATATGATTATTATTACTATATTATTATTATTATTATTTATCTTATTTCCTTCATTTTCATTTACTTTCTCCTCATTTTCTCAATTTTACCCTACATTCTTCTATTTTCTTTCACTTTCACTCTCACTCTCTTTTCCCCCTTCTTTCCTTCTCTTCCCACGTGAGAGTGGCAGAAGCCACCCTTCCCTTCTCCTTTCCCCCTCTTTCTTTCTTTCTTTTATTTTCATTCATATGCATAAATGTATGCATGCCCATGCAAATGTCTTCCCCCCTACATTTTTCCTCTATAACTCATTCACTCCTTTATTTTCCATTACATACCAACACTTTCTCATACATTCTCATACATACAATTTCCATCACTACTCTTTCCTTCAATTTCCACTACATATCTATACTTCTCCTACTTTCACATACACCCTTACACTTTCTCAAATACTATACTTGATAAGGAATGTTGGTGTATGACGGAGAATATTGAGGTATAGCGGAGAATATTAACGAGTATAGGAGTATAGTGGAGAATGTTGGTGAATGTTAACGCAAGTCGAGGATTTCAACTACGATTTTACCCTATAAATAGGGAGCACCCCTCCCCCTTTCATAAGACCATAAGTCTCTCCAAACAACAAGTCACACACACACACCACCACATAAGTCGCTTACGACTACTTCACACAACACAACTCACACATACACTCTCTCTACTTTCTCTCTCTAAAAACGTTTTCTCTCTCCTCTCGATCTCCCAAAACGTGTTAAACCTCAAAACACTCAACACACCCTCAATTTGGCGGACTAAGCCATGGAATCGTGGATAGTCTCCACCGGGCGGCATTAAATAGCCGACGACGCTCAATTACGACCGTGGGACCGAACCTGGTCTAGCGTCATCGTATTTATTTTATTCCATTCAGATTACTAATTTGAGCGTCGGAGGAGGTTCCAACCAGGACCCCCCGGTGGGACCTTTTTTTTCCAGGTATTCGCACGGAGCTGGAGGTGGTTAAAGGCTTTGGGAAATCAGCGCTCTCCTGACCTAAACATATTGAAGCAGGCTGCTTTAAGCTTGGCATCAACAATTGGCGCCCACCGTGGGGCCCGGTGAGAAGAATATTGCCAAAGTCTGACAAAATCACCGCCACACTGTGATGAATATTCAGGATACTACCAGCATACTTACCATCAAAGCGGAGAGTCGCCCTATTACAACAATCAATAGTGGGGGCAATCTAACCCCATCATCGATTAGGGGACACAATTCAAGAATTAGGCCAAGCCAAGGGCCAATGGGTCGAGGAGCTACCACGTGTGCTTTGGACGAACAACTTACAAAACTTCCACTGCGGAGATGCCATACTCACTGACATATGGCACTGATGTTATGCTGCCAATTGAAATGGAGCTCTCCTCTTACAGAATCCAATCATTCCACCCCGATGAAAATCAAATCGAGCTCACTCATGATCAACATCTCATAGAGGAGCGTCGAGAATACGCACTTATGCTACTTGCCGCTTCCAAAGAGAGGATCGAGCGTTATTTCAACGTCAAAGTGAGAAATCGACCCATCCGGGAAGGAGAATGGGTTCTGAGGAGAAACTTCAAAAAAATTCAAAGTCATGGAAATTTTACTCCCCAGTAGGAAGGTCCTTACAAGATGCACAAAGTGGTGGGACCAAATATAGTCAAACTATCTCTCCATGATGACCAGGATATGTCACGTAAAACTCCAAAATTTACGCCTCATTTGGTAATCATTTCTACACTCTATTCATTAATGGGTAAATTATGCACTAGGTTGTGCCAAAATAATTTCACATGTGCAAAAATATTCATGCCACAATTTTTTTGCACTAGTATATGCCAAAAAAGACATATATCCCGTCAATCCTATGCTCGTGATCTACATTAAGGAGAGGATATGAACAGCCAAAGCGATTGCTTTAAAACATGTTATGTTATCTTCTTGCCGATAGAAAAGTCACGATCATTTTTCATGAACTCCTGCCAAAATCACAGTCATTTCTCGTGATTTTCTACCGGCAAGGGGGGCAATTGATGGACCCGGTATTCACCTGCTTCACCTGCCCGTTGAAATAAAGTATTTTACTCCAATTATTATTAAATAATTAATATATTACATCTTATTATATTTCATTTAATATGATTATTATTACTATATTATTATTATTATTATTATTTATCTTATTTCCTTCATTTTCATTTACTTTCTCCTCATTTTCCCAATTTTCCCCTACATTTTTCTATTTTCTTTCACTTTCACTCTCACTCTCTTTTCCCCCTTCTTTCCTTCTCTTCCCACGTGAGAGTGGCAGAAGCCACCCTTCCCTTCTCCTTTCCCCCTCTTTCTTTCTTTCTTTTATTTTCATTCATATGCATAAATGTATGCATGCCCATGCAAATGTCTTCCCCCCTACATTTTTCCTCTATAACTCATTCACTCCTTTATTTTCCATTACATACCAACACTTTCTCATACATTCTCATACATACAATTTCCATCACTACTCTTTCCTTCAATTTCCACTACATATCTATACTTCTCCTACTTTCACATACACCCTTACACTTTCTCAAATACTATACTTGATAAGGAATGTTGGTGTATGACGGAGAATATTGAGGTATAGCGGAGAATATTAACGAGTATAGGAGTATAGTGGAGAATGTTGGTGAATGTTAACGCAAGTTGAGGATTTCAACTATGATTTTACCCTATAAATAGGAAGCACCCCTCCCCCTTTCATAAGACCATAAGTCTCTCCAAACAACAAGTCTCACACACACAACACCACATAAGTCGCTTACGACTACTTCACACAACACAACTCACACATACACTCTCTCTCTACTTTCTCTCTCTAAAAACGTTTTCTCTCTCCTCTCGATCTCCCAAAACGTGTTAAACCTCAAAACACTCAACACACTCTCAATTTGGCGGACTAAGCCATGGAATCGTGGATAGTCTCCACCGGGCGGCATTAAATAGCCGACGACGCTCAATTAAGACCGTGGGACCGAACCTGGTCTAACGTCATCGTATTTATTTTATTCCATTCAAATTACTAATTTGAGCGTCGGAGGAGGTTCCAACCAGGACCCCCCTGTGGGACCTTTTTTTTCCAGGTATTCGCACGGAGCTGGAGGTGGTTAAAGGCTTTGGGAAATCAGCGCTCTCCGGACCTAAACATATTGAAGCAGGCTGCTCTAAGCTTGGCATCAACAAGTGAATTTCTTTTTGATTCGGCATAATTTTTCAAGATCTTGCAAGCCGCAAAGGCGCAAACCGCCGGTCCCGCCTTCGTCTCGAGAAAATGTCATTTTCTACCCCGAACGAGCAATTTTTCGATTTTGCCAAACTTTGGACGACCATAACTTTGTGCTCCGCAATTCGAACGTCACAATTTTTTTTATGATTTCGCATAACTTTTTTAAGACTATAAATTTTGTCATAGCTATATTTTCAGAATGTATGTGGATTTGTGAAAAGTAAAGACAAATTTATTCCCAAAACCCCTTATATCCAAAAAGATTTCCTGTTTTGAAAATTCATTCCTGGTAAAACTTGTAGTCCTTCAAAAGTTATACGGAATAAAAAAAAAAAAGGTTATGACATTTGGGTTATGGAACACAAAGTTATGGTTGTCCAAAGTTTGACAAAATCAAAAAACTACTCGTTCTGGGTAGCAAACATCGATTTTTCGGGGACGAAGGAGGTACCAAACCACTTATGGCGGTTTGAGGCTTGCACAAAAAATAATGCAGAATAAAAAAAAATCGCTACAATCGGATACCCGAGCGCTAAATTATGTTCGTTTGAAGTTTCAGTCTAGGTTAGGCATTCATCGAAAAAAGAAAAGTTTATGTGCAAACCGCGGGGGTTGTGGCGGTTTGCATGAAAACCGCGACTATTTTACAAAATGAAAACTGCAACACCCTTCTGCGGTCCTCGTATAAACTGCTATAAGGGGTTGCGGTCCTTAGGAAAGAGTGCTATGGATGGAAATATTTGGGAAAGTGTGGTATTTTTGAAAATTTTATTTTTTTGGTTGGTATTTCTAGAAAAATTTCATGGTTCTCATACTGTCACCCCTAGGTAGTGGCGTAAGCCAGGATTTCAATTAAGGTGGGTCCAATGAAAAAATAAAAATATATAAAATAAATTTTATTAATATTTAAATAGCCTACGACATATTTTTATAGTTTGTCGACTGCTTTTCATTTGAGGATGAAGAATTCGACACTAAATTAGGAATAAGTAAACTCAAAATAAGAAATTAGAGACTCAAATTTTATGTAAAATCTAAAGTTCTTTACTTAATATGCAAAGTTAATGTGTGCCACAATATTTTTTAAATAAATGATGAGACTCAATTTTATTACCAAATATAAAATAAGACAAACATGATAAAAAAATAGGAGAGTCAAGGCCATATAAAGGGAACGGTTAGAGTGCTAACTTTATAGGAGGTTA